CTGCTGAAAGAGAAACACCAGCAGTTTGCAGTAGGATCAGTCCTCCAGCTTTGGAAAATCACCCAGGGGCTCATGTTGTTATTGATACAATCCTCAAGTTTTCCTGGGGAAGTCTCTGTTCCCCATCCTGCTCCAGAGCACTAGTGTGGCATCTTCATGTGAGATGTGTCCACCCACGCTGCCAGCAGGTAGAGCTGGAGCTGCTGGAAGTTGCGTCTGAACAGGGACATAAACAACACAAATGATTTGAAGATAATGCTGGTCTAAACACCGTGCATGGACAACCCTAAATTTAAACAGGTTTAGAAAAAACCCAACAAAACCCCTGTGTTTTCAGAGCTGTCACTGTCCTGTATGTTGGATTTAGCGAGACTTGCTGGAGGGAAGGGACTTAGGCCACTCTGTGTGCGATCTCAGCCTGTAATTTCTGGCAGAATGGGGCTGGCTGGTACAACAGCTGTTTTCCTTCTCATTTAATCCACTTTTGACTCCCATGTGCGATTGTTTTTTACCTTCAGCAGTTACAAGCATCCATCAAACCAGGACATCATCCCCAGGGCTAATTTTTTGTAGGTTGGCTTCTGGGGCTTTTTCATAGTTTTCATGTTCTCTTAGGCTGTAACAATGATGTGATTTGGTGAATTTAATCCTTTTTTAATATGAATAAAGTTCTGTTCTTTTCCTTCCGCAGTTGAAAACCATGATCCAAAAGATGAAAGGGAAGATGGTGACAATAGTGACATCTCATTAAAAATAGCCTCAGTTTTGCCTGGACTTCATTACGCCTTACAGAAAGCCACCAGTTCTTCATGGGGGGACGCAGTCAGTACCAGCGTACGTGTCAAACAGCACTTCCAGGAATACGCAAAGCTTGATCCAAATCCACAGCCCACCTCTGGGCAAACCAGCGAAGTTCCCCTTTCTTCTCTCCTCTCACCAGCCAAGGATGAATGTCCTAATCCCTTCAAGAACCGCGCAGAGCAGTCCTTCTCCCAGCTGCAGCATTATCTCTCCGATCCCGGCAGCTACACTCTGGAAATGTCGGCTGCCTTAGGATGTTTGACTGGTGCTGTTCAGTCTCTTTGCTCCGATTCAGAGGCTGATTGTAAAGTAGACTTCTCTTCGGCTGTGCCGCCGGACCCCATTTCTCCCAACGCAGCAGAGGAACTAGAAGTCAAAAGCGAAAACCCGAAGCCCACCGTGGGGCTGGACCAGTGTGGGGAAGGACCCACAGAAGATGTCAGTGCTGCCAGCCAGCTATCGGTGCAGCAGAGCAGGAGGAAATCCAGCCGAACCATTGCGACCAGCACCAAGAAGAAATGGTCACCCCTCAAGATGCAAATGCATCCTGCGGGGGACAGCGGCAGGAACAGGAAAGCAACCAAGAAGAAGAAAATCAGCATTGCTTTCTCTTCTCCTAAAAAGCCAGAGCTCACGGCCACTTCCAAGGAGCCCACTTCCAAGGAGCCCACGCTTAAATTAGCCAATTTGCAGTTTCCACACAGAAGGAAAAGAGGTAAGTGCTATGTAAATGGGACTGATGTTTTCCTGCTTCTCCAGGGTACCCATCTGCGATACTCAGCCTTCGCTAGGAGCCATGTCCCCTCGCCATCCCCCCCGGGTGCCAGAGCAAGCAGACATCTCTTGAGAGCATCCACATAGAATCATGGAATGGTTTG